CCACAAATAATGATAATTTAACTTCTCCCTTTCCTGTCCTTATTTCTTTTATTTCATTCTCTTGTCTAATTGCTTTGGCTAACAGTTTTAGAACTATACTGAATAAGAAAAGGTTTAAATCCCAGCAGTCCCTTACAGTGGACATTCTTTGTAATTTTGGTGTGAAATTGTTCAGTTTTTGTCCATTCAGTGTGCTATTGGCTGTTAGTTGGTCATAGATGGCCTTTTTCAGATTGAGGTAAAGACCATCTATGCCAGTTTTCTTTTGGGTTTATCACGAATGTCTGTTGGACTTAATCAAATGTTTTTCCTGCTTCTATTGAGACAATTATATATGGTTTTTGTCCTTGGCTCTATTAACATGACGTATTACATTTATTGATTTGCCTATGTTGAACCGTCCCTGAATCCCTGGGATGATCCTACCTGGTCATGTGTACAATCTTCTTGATGATCTGCTGCATTCTGCGTGTCAGTATCTTACTGAGGGTTTTTTTTTTTTTTTTCCTATGTTAACAAGGGAGACTGGGCCGTAATTCTCTTTTTCTGGTTGGATTCTTCTCTGCTTTTGGTAGCACGGTAATGCTTGCTTCCAGGAATGAATCTGGGAATACTGCTTGCTTTCAATTTCATAAAAGAGTTTGAGAAGTAGTAGATTAGATTGTCCCTAAACTTCTTGTAGAATTCAGCAATGTGTGCTAGGCCTAGTGGCTCATGCCTGTAATCCCAGCACTCGGGAGGCTGAGGCAGGAGGATCACTGTGAGTTCGAGACCAGCCTGGGTACAAAGTGAGGTCAAGGCCAGCCTGAATTGCAGAGAGATCCTGTCTCAAAAAGAAAAAAAAATCAGCAGTGAATTCTGGGCTTTTCTTTATTGGTAGATTTTAAACTATACCTTCAATTTTATTGGCCAACATTGGTTTGTTAGGATTTTTATGTCTCCTTGATTGAGCTTTGGTAATTCACATGTATCCAGGAATCTGCTCATTTCTTCTGTGTTTTCCATCTTACAAGACACAAATTCTCCAAGCAAGTATTGATGGTCTTTTGCATTTCTGCAGGATCCACTGTGATTTCAATGCTTTCATTACTAATTGCATGGATTTGAGTCTTTTCTTTCCTTCTTTTGATAAAATTGGCTAAGAGTTTGTCAATTTTATTCAATCTTGAAGAACCAACTCTGATTCCTTGATTCCTTACACTATTCTCTTACTCTCCATTGCATTAATTTCCGCTCTGATCTTTATAATTTCTCCCCTGTATGAGCTTTGGGCTTGATTTAATCTTTTTCTAGAAGCTTCAGGTTCAACATTAGGTTGCTTATTTGATTGTTTTTTTGGACGTGGAAATTCACCACTATAAATTTCCCTCACCGGACTGCTTTCATTGCATCCTGTAAGTTCTGGAATGTTGTATCAGTGTTATCATTTAATTGTTGAAACTGTCTAATTTCTTAATTTCATCTACGAGCCACTGGTTGTTATTGATTTCCATGCGTTTATGAAGTTCTCGCAGTTTCTTTGGCCATTGGTTTCCAATTTCATTGCCCTGTGGTCTGACAGTACACACGGTCATTTCCACTCTCTCACACTTACTTAAGCTTGTTCTATGAGATAGAATGTGGTCTTTTTTGGAGACTGTTTCACTTACAATTACTAAAAATGTGCATTCTGATGTTGTGGGATGGAACACTCAGTAAACATTACTGAGCTCATTGGTTCAAAATTTGGTTCGGTTATGATATCTCCTTGTTGATTTTTGTGTGTGGTTGATATATTTTTGGCAGTGGGGTTTTGAGGTCCCTGATTACAATTGTATTAGTGCTAATTTGATTTTTCATGTCCATTAATATTGTGTTATATAGTTAGGTGGGCAGTACTTGGTGCATATATGTTTGTGACTGTTATTTCTTCTTCTTGGAATGTTCCCTTTCCAAGTATCTAGTGACCTTCTTTGTCTCTTTTAATCAGTCTTGGCTTGAAGCCCACTTTAGTCTGCAAATAGCATAGCTACCCTTGCTGTTTTCTGGGTTTCTATTGCACGTAGTATTGTTTTTCATCCACTGATGTTCAGTCTTTGAACTTTCATTTGAGTTAAATGTGTTTCTTGATGCAACACATTGTTAGATCTTGCATCATTTTAAAAAAAAATATTTTAGGGACTGGGGATTTAGCTCAGCGGCATAAGCGCCTGCCTGGCAAAGTGAGTTCGATCCCTGGTACCAAAAAAAACAAAACAAACAAACAAAAAAAAAAAAACCAAACAACCTTATTTTAAGGATAATAAAGCAAAACAAAATAATGAAATGAAACAAAACAATAAGAATGATCTTGGATGTCAAAAACAAGACATTAGGAAATCAGCAATGTACTATTTTGTATATTGTTACCCTCAGACTGCCGGATACAGGTGTGCAAAGTTAATCAAACAGCACAAGCCCTAAGTTGTTTCTCTTCTCTTGTTGCCGTCTTTTCTGAAATCTCAGGTTGTGGTTTCCACTTTCTTTTGTGTCTGTGTTCCTGGACTTGCTCTGGGTGGGTGGGGGCCGTGACTGCACCTGGCTCTTTGTCTTGACACTTTCCTGTACCCCCCAAATCAGCCGGCTGCTGAGTTCTGGGTGCCTGCCCACCCCTGGCTGCCCACCCTACGGGGCAGAGGATTGGGCCGGGCACCTGGGTTCCTCTGATCTGAGGCTCCCTGGGTGGCATCGAGGCATGGGGTAGTGGCCCATCACTCCCAGGTGATGTGACCGTCTCTCCTTCGGGCCCACTGCAGTGGACTCACTGGGGAGTGTGGCTTCTCCCTGTGGCAACTGGCTCACTGAGAATTGTGGCTTCTCCTCTAGGCCTTCGGCAGGTGGCTCACTGGGAAATGTGACCTTGTCTCTTTTGGGCCCACAGCAGGAGACTCAATGCAAGGCATGGCTTGTCTTCTGGGCCTGGAGCATCAGACTCACTGGGGGATGTGGCCTCCGCTCCTCCAGGCCCACTGTAGGGGGCTCACCAATGGGCACAGCTTCCTGCCCTCAGCCCACAGCGGCAGGCCCGTTTTTTGGATTTTTTTTTTTTTTGTATCAGTCATCAAACTCATGGCTCATACTTGCCAGGCAGGCACTTACACTGCTGAGCTAAGTCCCCAGTCCCTTGTCCGAAGTGACGCTGTGTGACTTCCAGGGCTGAGTGAGCACAGACCACGAGACTACCAGCTGCTTCCCTGGGGACGCCTGCCCCTGGGCTGTCATTAAGAAGCTGGCTTCCCCAGCTGTCCTAGAGCCTGCAAGGGTCGGGCACTGAGGCTCCCCAGCCATGCCTAAGATGCTTCACCCACCCAAGGATGCACATCCCAGCAGCCAGCTCGGAGGGAGGAAGATAAGCAAGGACTACGGGCGAGTGGAGGGTGCAGCAGCCCCTCAGACACTCCTGTAAGTGACCCGGAGGTGAGGCTGGCAGCAGGAGCCACATCCCTCCTCACCAGTCACAGGCAAGCTTGTCTTAGCAAAGCTGCCCTTTATTGAGCACTTACTAAGTACTTTACCTGTTTAACAATCCCATTTGGTCTTCATGAGCAGCTTCTGGCGTCAGACACCAGGGCTGGAACCCTGTTCTGCCACACACGGGGCAAGTGACTCATTCCTGCTCTACGCCTCAGGGTCCTCGTAATTCAGAAGGAGCATCAGGAAAAGGGGAGACACAGCATCAGCTATGCAAGCATGGCGCATTCCCGGAATTTGTGTGTTTAAATCCCCAAGGGCAGGGCTGGCACACAGCAATCACTGCAAAGCATGGCACACCGTTGTGTCCTCGAGAAAGCAGTCCAGGGCTCCCGCCACAGATGGCCGGAAGTAAGAGGGTAGGAAGAGGGGAGTCATCTGGCTCACGGTGTAGGAGGACTCAGTCCCTGGTCAGCTGGCTGCAGGGCAGAAATATCATGGGAGGCCTGGCAGAGGTCAATGCACAGCAGCGGAGAAGCTGCAGAGCAGGGATCAGCGCCAGAGGGACGGGGCGAAGGATCAGACATACCCAGACCACACCGCGTGTTCTCTGGGCGCCTTGTCAGGGCCTGACACTGGAGACTGCGCACTTCCTCCAGCCTGCAAGGTGTAAGCGGCACAATTGCAACCTCCGGCTGCAATTACCACGCACCGCCACCAGGCGGGTTCTGGAGCCCGGCTGGAGCCCTGCGATCTGTTAGCTGGGACTTCACAGAACTGAATCACCAAGGCAGCGTCCCAGGGCCAACGGGGCATGGAAGGGGAGCGAGGCTGGGGAGAGAGGGAGAGTCCCAAGGAGCGAACGCTGGATGGGACCTGCAAGTGAATGCACCCTGGTGGGCTTTCCTGCCTCGGGCCGAGCGCCAGGCGCGGATGATCTTCAGAGAGAGCCGTGGGTCCGTGCACCAGGGCGCGCTCCCGAGGTTTGCGGGTGTGCGCAAGTGCGCGGCCCGATGAGGACTCAGAGATGCCCGGGAGCGAGTCCCTCGAGGGGCGGGGGATGGCATAGTCCAGGCTGGAAAATGCCCAGCACTGGTGTGACTCTCGCTCTGCGACTCGTATGAGGCCTCCTGGCCGGGAGGTCTGGAAGAGGGGAGAGCTGGGCCGCCAATGCCTGTATGCTCCTTCGTCCTCTTCAGCAGCATCTGGGACTGATCCTCAGGCATGGGGGGGGGGGCTGGGGGTCACCTTGGCCCAGCCCAGTGTTTCTTTGAGCCCTTTAAAATGGCGTGAAAACGAAAAATTAGGTAAATGGCCAGATGTGTGTGGCTGTGCAAGTTTATAATCCCAGCACTTGCTCGGGAGGCTGAGGCAGGAGGGGCGCCACAAGCTTGAGGCCCGCCTGGGCTAGGACTGTGGCCTCCTCTTTGAGCTCTGGCCCGAACTGTGACAAGTCGTTCCCCTGCACAAGGCACCGCGGTGAATTTCAGCACCAGCAAGTGGGACAATCGTCCTCATCCCTTTCCAGCCTCAGAGATTTCCTAATTTCCTTCTCCCGCCCCCACGCGGCCGCGTGCTCACACGCCAAGGGAGAAATGTTCCAAGTTATTTTTATTTTAGAATACAAGAGGTACAAATGTATTTACAGGTGTACATATACAATCAATATATATCACAGTTTTGTAAATATTTAGATAATTATGTACAAAGGTAAAGTGACCATTTTCTGGAAGTAGAACACAGTTTCTGGAAAACTCTATACACTTTATACTTTTAATTAATATTATAGTTTCTTTTTACAAAACGCGCGATGGGAATTGGGCTTAGTGGCTGGGGGCCGGAGGACGACGCCAGAGGGCGCCCGCGGCCGGAGCTGGGGACACACGGGTAGGGGCGAGGGCACGTGGGCGCGGGGACCGGAGACCCGTCGCGCTCTGACAGGTTCCAGGCCCCTGCTGGCTGCTCCTGGATCCCCACGGATCCCGGCGCTCAAGGCTCTCCTTGGGCCTCGTCTCTCCTGGCAGGCACCCCCAAAACGCAGAGACGCCCCCCCCCCCCCCCCCGCCGCCAGTCCCTGGGCGAACGGGCACCAGGAGGGAGGTCGCTCTGCCTCGGTTCCCAAACACGGAGTTCTCTAAGGGCGAAGGCGGGGATGCCCCTTAACCCGCCGAGGGCCCTTGGAGACCTTGGGTCCCTTCCCCTGGCACCCTCGAGTGGGACGACCCCCAGGAAGAGGGAGATCGGGGGTGCAGCCGGTGGTGGGGGCCCCTGTCCCCCCAAAAGAGGAGACAGCTGAACAACCACAGCAGCTGGTAGGCGGAGGCGCGCCCCAGCGTGGGGCTCCTCCCGGGCGCCCCGCGGGCCCCGCGCGCCGCTCACAGCACCATGGCCGGCAGGTGGTGCGCGGCGGCGGCGGCGGCGGCGGCGGCGGCGGCGAGCGCGGGCGCGTGCGCGTGCGGCGCGGGGAGCGCGGGCGAGTGCGGCTGCAGCGCGGCGCTGGGCGGCCGGTGGCGCGCGCTCTTCTGGTGGGCGCGCAGGCCGGCCAGCTGCGAGTAGGCGCTCTGGCACACCTGGCACTTGTAGGGGCGCTCGCCCGTGTGCAGGCGCACGTGGTTGCGCAGCGTGGACGACTGGCTGAAGCGGCGGTTGCAGAAGCGGCACACGAAGGGCTTGTCCAGCGTGTGGATGCGCATGTGCGAGCGCAGGTTGCTGCGCGAGTTGAAGCCGCGATGGCAGATGACGCAGCGCATGCGGCCCGCCGTGCCCGCAGCCGCATCCCCGGGGTGGAAGTCCTCTGGGGGTGGAGGGGAGAACAGGTTAGAGCGACAGGACACGCGCGCCACGCACGCCACTCCGCGCCCCGCGCCACCTGCGCCCCAGCCTGGCTGGGGAGCTGAACCTTGCAGACCTTCGGGCTGGGGTCAGTTAGGAATTGGGTTCCCCATCCCGCTGGGAGCCCAGGCAGTCTTAGGGACTCGGCCTCCCTAGCCTCAGCTTGCTGTTGGTCATGTGAGAATCTGGAGTTGGGAATGGTGGCGCATGCCTGTGTTCTCAGCATCGCGGGAGGCTGAGGCAGGAGGATTGCAAGGCGGAGCCCAGTCTGGCTTATTTGGCGATTTAGTAACACTCTGTCAAAAATAAAGTACAAAAAGGCGGGGGATGTATGAAAGCCCAGAATTCAGCTGCCGGTATGGGGAAAAAGAAAAAAAGAACAAAAAAGGAACCTAGTCAATACCACCACTGTGTGATTCATCTCCCAAATATCCATCAGCCTTCCGCTCTGCAGAGACCGCGAGTCGGGTTCTCATGCCTGGAAGGCACTGACTCCGCAAGTAAAGATCAGAAGTTAATGGCCTCAGGTTTGTCCTCTAAAAATAAGGATAATCATTTTTTTTTTTTTTGGTACCAAGAATCGAACTTAATAAATTAAGAGTTTTGAGTAAGGTTTTCAATATTCATCAAAGAGTTTCTTCCATTTCTTACCCAGGAAACAAAGGATAGCCCACACTTGGCAAACTGTAAGTATTTTGTTCCGTTGGTTTGGGTTTGGTTTTTGCTGCTTTCCCGGGCACTGAGAAGTAAACCGGAGGTGTTTGTAGTGAAGCCCTTTTTAAATTAATTAATTTATTTATTTGTACCGGGAATCGAACTCAGGACTTTCCACTTGCCAGGCAGACATTCTGCTGCTGAGCTAAGTCCCCAGTCCTCTTTTATTTTTTGCTAAATTTTCTTGCTAAATTTTCCGGGCAGTGTTCAAACTTGAGATCCTCCTGCCTCAGCCTGCTGGGGTCACAGGCATCACTGCCATGCCAGGCCTATGGCATAGGTAGTCTCTATGTCGGGGAGCAGTGTCCCTGGATACACACAGGCTCATGGTGCCCTACTTTATACTTAATACCTAAATAGACTTAAACACTTCTTCCAAGGATGGAGACAGGGACAGGGCAGGGACAGGATGTGTATGGGCTGGAAGGAGCATGAAGGAAACTGAGGCTCAGAGTGGCCCCCAAGACTGCACAGTAAGTCAGCACCCGATGCCGACCCCTGCTGTTTTGCTATCTTTCCTCCTGCCACCCCCCCCCACTAGACCCAGGGTCCCCGGAAGCCAGGATGTCCCTCCCCGTCCCTTCAGGACCCCGTCCCTACCGTGTTTGTTCTTCTTCTGCTCGTCCTCCAGCCCCGGCACCCCAGGGATGCCCAGGAAGGTGTTGTGGGAGTTCCCGTACCACACCAGCAGCTCCTGGTCGGGGGGGATCATCTGCAGGGACAGAGGCCAGATGAGGTCAGGGAGGCCACCAGGCCACGGGGACATCACACCCCTCTGCCCCCGCTCCCTGGGGCTTCTTGTCATCTCTGTCCAAGCCCAGGTCACAGGACAGGAGGCTGGCAGGGCGGGGCCAGACGTTCCCACGGAGCGAGGGAGGTAGGCTCCTGGGCACTTGGCTGCACCCTGCCTGAGAATGTTCTGGAAACAGCTTTGTCCAGACACACAGCAGCAGTGAGTCCACGGGGCTTTCTGCCCCCTACAGCTCTGAGCACCCCCATGTCAGGAGCTGCCCGGGTGTGCAGCCATACAGAGATGGTGACAAGAGCCTACAACCAACCGATGCTGGGGTCCGGCTGTACCGCTATCACGGTGGTCCAGAGGGGATACAAGGGACCCCTGGCCTTGATAAAAGTCAGTCACTTCTCCCAGGTGGGAACACAGAGGCCTGCTGGGTAGGGCAGATGAGAAAAGGGACAGCTGTCATCATCGGGAGGCCTGGTGCCCAGAGGGCTACCCATGACACCTGCCGTGGGTCACAGAGGGAAGGCCCCTCTGCCTAAGTGTGGCCTGCCACACCCAGAATCCTCAGTCACCACATCCTCCGGGGTGTCGGAGCCCGGAACACCCCCGGTCCCCGGCATCGACCCTAGGGCGGGTGTCACGGCCAGCTCTCTGGGGACCACAGTCATGGTGGCTGTCCAGGAGGCCAGTGGGAAGGGGCAGAGGAGAGGAGGGAGGCTTTGTGAGCCACTGGGAGAGGCAGGTGGAAGGCAATCAGAGTGAGGGAGGCGGGAAGGGAGGAGGAGGAAAAGGAAGGAGACCAAGAAAGGAAAAAGGAAGGGAGACGGGGGAGACTGTTTCACCCCAAGTGGACGCTGGGCCTCAGATATCTTCAAATGAATTGATTGCAGAGGAAGCTGCTCTACGAGATGGCACAGATGGGCCCCATGTCACCGGGTCCCTCCTGACCTTACACAAGTCACTTCGCCCCTTTCCATTCACATTCTCACACGAGGGTGTCGGGAGACACGATCCCCGAGGTCCCACCCTGCAACCCAAAGTGAGTGACCTCCAGCCCTGTCCCTAGCCCAGCTTTGGGTCTCAAGTAGCCACTGCACCTGTCCCCTCGGAGGCCCCACTGCACGGGGCTCCGGCCGGCAGCCCCCTCCTGCTGTAGAGCAGGGACCGTCGCATCGCCCTGGCTTGCTGCTCTCAGACGCATCGTCTGCTCTGGAAGCCACTCTGCCTGGTGTGCTTCGCTGCTCAGACCTTTACTCAGCAATTTCCCAAGCGTCCCCGAGCGCCCAGCCTGGCTGGGAGACTCTAGAGAGCAGGTAGCCTTAAAAGCTGCTGCACCAGGAAGGAGGCTTGGACCAAGAAGACTCGGAACTGGGGGGCTGTCCTCCTCGGCCACCACCTCTCTTCACGGGCTGGCAGGGGCCTGGGGACATTGAGCCCTCTAAGCCCTGCAAGTGGCAGAGAGCCCTGGCACAGTGAAGCCCAGCATGGTGGAGCTTTGCCTTTGAGGCCAGGCGGAGCACAGGCTGGGGCAGGGCACACGTTGGACACCAGCCCACGCCCGTGCCACCTTCTCCAGTGCTGCGTGTTCCCCAAGAGAAGCCATCACTCTGTGAAGCTGCAGACAGAGGCCCAGGAAGCTTCAGGGGTGGTGCAGGGACTGCAGTGCTCAGAAGGGCCAGCAGTGCCCGAGTCTGGGAACAGGACCAAGGTGACGCTGGCATTCCACTCCGAGTGAAAATGACAGCTGTCATTCAATGCGAGGTAAACACAATAATCGGGGTGTGGTGGCCCACAGCTGTTGTCCCAGCACATAGGAGGCTGAGGCAGGTAGAGTACCACAAGCCGGAGGCCAGCCTGGGCTGCATAGCGAGACCCGGTCTCACAAAACAAAACAAATAAATACGATAATGAGGCTGATGGGTGGGAACCCAGTCCCCCGCATCGGGGATTGTGTGGACCAGGAATGTGTTTTCTGAATCAGGAATATGATTATTTGGGGCTGGGTGCTGCTCCATCGTAGCGCACTCAGTGAGCATCCCCAGCACTGAGGAAAGAGAGAAAAGAAGAAAAGGGAGGAGAAAATGATCATTTGGGACACTGGTCTTGTTTTGTTTGTTTGTTTGTTCGCAGCACTGGGGGTGGAACCCAGGTCTTCACAAAAAGCCACATCCTCAACCTTTTTTAAAATTTATTTTTTATTTTGAGACAGGGCCTCCCTGAGTCACTTAAGCCGAGTGCTCTGGGCTTGAGCTTTCGATGCTCCTGCCTCAGCCTCCCAGAGTGCTGGGACCACAGGTGTGCACCACCACATCCGGCTCCTGGGATGCTGTTCTTAAAATAACCACATCAGGGTGCCTGGCATAGTGTAAGGGTGAATCATTGATGTACTAGCATATTTTTTTAAAGTACTAAAATTAATTTTACTCAGTTTAAAAATCGAAACACACAGGCATAAGTGGATACAAGTGTGGAGGAGTAAACCGTGAAACCTTTTGCTCTGGGGGCCCAGCGGCTGCTCCCTCTCTCTGAACGTCTTTCCCCGAAAAAGCTCGGCGCTCTGAGCCATTCAGAAAAGTGCTGATTAAAGGTCTGGGCAGAGAAGCACGCTATGCAGAGTGGCTTCCAGGTTAGGTGATGCCTCTGGCTTTTTAGAAAACAATGAAAGAAAGGAAAAGAAAAAAAAAAAAAAGGAGCGTGCTGGGCACGGTGGTGCACACCTGTGATGCCAGCATTCTCGGAGGCTGAGGCAGGAGCATCAGGAGTGCAAGCCCAGTCCAGGCAGTGGATCAAGACTGTTGCCAAAAATAAAAATAGCGATGGCTAGGGATGTAGCTCGATGCAGAAGAGGTCCTGTACCAAAGCAACACCCAAAATAAACAACCTCCCCCCAAATTACATCTACACACGCGCGCACACACACACACATACACACCATTAAAATTATTTTCAGAGTTTAGGACTTTTAATTTGTCCTAAGAAATCACTGAAGCAAGAATCATGGTAAAGCATTCTACTTTTCCTGACAAGCCTTACACACACACTCACGTACACATGCACATGCCTGTGTTTGTAGGGAAAAAATGGTACTATACATGGAAAAATATATTTTTTAAAAAAGCAAGCAAATCTAAAGCCCGGTGTGATTGCACATACTTATAATTCCAGCACTCGGGAGGCTGAGGCAGGAGAATGGATGTGAGTCTGAGACCAGCCTGGGCTATACAGTGAGTACAAGGGCCGCCTGAACTCCTTACATAGCACGATCCTATCTAAAAAAAAAACACCACCAGTAACAGAAAGTCTACTGAGAAGACCTGAGGAAAGGAGGGAACTGGACACGGTCAGCTCACGGGCACAGAGCAGGGGAGTAGGACCTTGGTCCTGCCCCTGCCAGTTGTAGCCAGGAGGTGTCCCAGAGCCCCTCTGACCCTGAAGCTGCTGTTGCCCCCTGAGATCTTCCCAGGGTCCCTCTCTACTTCCTAGGGCCGAGCACAGCCACAGCCAGGGACCCTGCCAGTGTGGCTACCACAGTCACTCACCGGCCAGCAGCCGGGCCAGGCTCTCTGCTGGCACAGGGATCCAACTGCCTGAGTCTGCGTCAGTGGCTCCCAGCTCAAGGGAGCAGAGCTCCCCCGCACCATCAAATCCACACCGCCAAACCTGGGGCAAGAGCCAGCCCAGTCTCCCAGCTCAGCCTCCTCCACACGCCCGCCGTGAAGTCCTCTCCTGTTTCTCTTCTCGATGTTTATTCCACATTGGAAATCACGCGCTTCAGGGTTTGTTTCCCAAAGCGAATTCACCCCACACCACGGAGCAGGCTCCCCGGAGGCCGCCCCATACGGGACCCGCGTGGGAAGGATCGAGGTGTCATCCGAGCGAGCATCAATTCCCATCATGCACAGACGTCCTGACACGCCAATTAATAGAGCCCTGCAAACAGCCACCGACCGACTGGGGAGACCACACACAGGGTGGTCAGGCGCGGGCACTGCAGCAGCCTGACAGCTCAGTGACCTCCCAAGGTCTCCAGAGCCTTCATTTTATCATTAAAATTGGGAGGGGGGCTGGAGTGTAAATCCTGGGGTCCCCCCAACACCACAGATACACAGGCAAATACATAAATAAATAGGCCAGGAACAGCCGTAGAGGGCGTCTCACAGGGCTGAACAAATTCTAGGCTTGGCTTGTGGTTTTCTGAGACAGGGTCTTACTCTGTAGTACAGCCTGGACTGGAATTCGCTATGTAGCCCAGGCTGGCTTCAGAGTCATGGTGATCATCCCGCCTCAGCTTCCTAAGTGCTGAGATGACAGGTGTGTGCCACCGTGCCCAGCCGAATTCTATTTTTAGTAAGTGTGGCTGGAGCCAGGTGTGAACTATAGAGCAAGACCCTGTCTTAAAAAAGGAAAGAAAGAAAAAGAAAACGAAGAAAGTGTGCGGCTGGGAAAGTAGCTTGGTGATAGAGTACCTGCCTGGGTAGCAAGCATGGGGTCCTAGCTTCACTCCCCAGTATCCAAAAAAGGAAGTTGTAAGACCTTGTGAAAAGCGTGTCAGCGCAGTACCGCGTGGTAAATGCCGTGCAGTGGCAACACTGATGCCCATTTTTAACAGAGCAACTTAAATGTGCCCACCCGTGAGCAAGGTCACAAGAGCAAGCCTGCTTGTCCTCGTAGTGAAGAGAAGAGTCAGGCACCAGGGTGTAATCCCAGCCACTCAGGAGGCTGAGGCAGGAAGGTTCCGTGTCTGAGGCCAAGCTGCGACCCTGTGTCAGCAAGGGTCAGCAAGACCCTGTATCAAAATACACATTTGCAAAAGAGCTGGCTGCAGCTCAGTGCCAGAGCCTGCCTCGCCTGTATGTACCAGGCTCCGGGTTCAATCTCTAGGACCGACAACAAACAAACAAAAACAAGAAACTAAGTGAGGAAGGAGATGGGGATGTAGGAGGAAAGAAAGTATCAGTTACCTGAAATAAGCAGGAAAAGGGCAGGAGAGAAAAACTGTATTTTAGGAACCAAACAGTTGCCAAAAACTGGGAAGGAAGAGGCTGAGCGTTTTCCGCCCAGGACCAAAACCCAAACGGTCATAACTTATTCCTCCTCACTGCTCTCCTCCGTATGCCGGCTTTTAAAATAAGGCAGAAGTCTCGCGGCCTGGGGCAGCCTGTTTCATCTGTGGAAGGTCGGGTCCCCATGGCCACCGCCTGCCCCCTGGCCCTGGCCTACAGGATGACTGCTTGCTTGAGCCATGACCTGACCCACCCGGGAGTGCCAGGCACTGTCTGGAAATGGGCCCTGAGGTCCCAGGGTTGCAGTGAGTGTCCACAGCCCAAGGGGGATCCCCGGGAGGAGACTTGGCATGCACCAGCCTCGCCTTAGCTCCTCCGTGGCCGCCTGCGCTCGGACGCCCACGGCCTTCATCTGTGTTGGGGAAGCCACGCAGCAGCTGCGGTCGGTGCTGCCCATTGAATAAAGACGTCCTGCCCGTTTCTAGCAAATAACGGGTTCTTCTTACAAAATATGGGGGTGGCGGAGCGATTAAGAAAACAGATCACCGCCCAGGCCCCTCTCCCTGGCCACTGTGACCCAGAGAACAACAGTGGATTCATACTGGTGACACCAGGCACAAGAGAGCGGTGCGGGCCTGGTGGTGCTCAGGGACAGCCGGCCACACCAGTCACCCAGCCAGCAGTGCGGCCAGACCGTAGGGCTGGGGAGAAACCAGCCCAACGTCTGTATGAAAAGGATCTGGGGGTGCGTGATGTCCCCGGCCCTTGCACAGGCAGAGCCTTTGCAGGGGACTCTCCTGACTCAGAAGGCGTGGTGGGCCAGGCCGGAGGTTCCTCTGAGCCACCTACGTCCTGTGTTCAGCAGCGCAGTTTACACACCGCAACAGTGTTGCCTTTGATTTTATAAACTTAAATTCCCAATCAAATGCAGGTGAAATTTTTTCTCTAATTCTATAAATTTGAGTCCCTCCCTGGAACTATTTCTTAGTCACTTTTCCCTCTGATCCTGCAATTTTTTTTCTTTTCTCTTTTTTGCTTTGATTTGGTTGTTTCTTTTCTTGTCTAGTTTTGTTTTGTTTTTTTTGAAACTGGGTCTTGCTAGGTAGTCCAGGCTGGGCTGGAACCCCCGGCGACCCTCCTGTCTCAGTCCCTGAGTGCTGGGATGACAGGCGTGGGCTACCATGCCTAGTGGATTCTGCATTTCTGCATAAACGTCTGCGCACATGTCCTGACCCTGTAGGGCTTTCTTTTTTTTAATTTTTTTTTTTTGTCTTTTTTGTTTTTATTGGTACCAGGGATCAAACTCACGACTGCCTGCTTTCAATGCAGGTGCTTATGCCGCTGAGCTAAATCCCCAGCCCCCGACCCTGTAGGGCTTTCTACAGGTGGTATGTATAGGGAGGCACAAGGCTGCATGTACGCAGGTGTCTGGCCTGTCTCCTGTGTGCATGTGTGCATGTACACGCACACATCTGTGTGGAGGGGGGATGAACATCATGGCAGGAGGGAGTGCTCAAATGTGACCCTGTGCGCGTGTGCCTGCGTGTGCCTGTGTGTGCCTGTGTGTGCCTGAGTGTGCATGTGTGTATGCATGCGTGTGCAGGTGGACCCAAGAGGTACATCCTGCTAAATGTGGTTTCAGTTGCACTGGAGGCCACTTCTAGGAGGTGGTGGCTCAGCCCAAGGGTCATAGGAGCCCCTCTGTCCTACCTGGCCATTCTTGGGCTCCAGGGAGAGACAACTAACTGCTTGCTCCTCCTCCACCAACCTCCTTGTCCCCCAGGGCTGCTTCTCAGCTGGGACACAGTCCCTTGCCATAGGTCAGGCCAAGGCCCTCCTCCCTGGTGGGGCCCTGAGGCCTGGCTAGTTAAGGACAATAAGACCCCAGTGCCCAAAACTGCTAGGCCTGGCCCTGGAGCCACTTCTTCCCGTGTGGGAGCAGGCACTGAGGTCCAAATAGCTGCAGTGGGACAGCTGTCACGCTCCTCGACACTCACACCCCCAGGCCAGCAAGAACCAAAGCTCCTAGCAAGGGACCCTGTCCAGGTGCGGTCCCCATGATGTGGGCACCTCGGCTACCACGGCTCTTCTTGCTGTGCAATATCACCCACCCAGCCCCTCCGCCTCAGCTTCCCTGCCTCTACCCAGGGACCCCCGCTACCAGGAGCACCTCCCTTCTGAGCCCTGGCTCAGCCCGAGCACCCTCAAATACCACTGGGAGGGGCATCTACCCTCTGCCACTGCACCCTGCCTCTGCCTCGCATCTCTGAGAAGCCTCACAGCACAGATACCCACACTAACACCCCCATCGGCCTGGTAGAAGCCCTGCACTCTGCCTGCTACTGAGGGAGACCCCGTTTCTGCAGCCGTGAATTGCAATCCTCCCAGGATCCTCCTTGTGGTATCTCTTGGGGTGCATACCAGGCATCCGCAGGAAGCCTGGCACCCATCACTGAGACCAGTCCTCTCTCCCACCCAGACACATCCCTGGCCTGCCTTCTGCTCCTCATCATGCTCTCTGAGACATCTCTGACCTCCGAATCACAGCACACCGTCTGCCAATCCCCAGGAAGTCACTACAGCGGTTCTTAAGATTCTCACACGGCATCAAATGAAAAGCACCGATCTTTCCCATCAAGCTCCGGAGACCACAAAGCAGGAGCCCCAGCCCTGCAGTCCAGGCAGGGACAGCTGAGCCGGCGTCAGTGTCCCTGCACTCTCTGTGGTCCCCCACTGGACCCTACACAGCAGCACACACACACACACATGCACGCACACAGGCACACATGCACGGACGGACCTCGATGGCCTTGTAGAAGATGCTGGTGCCGATCTGGACCACCTCCAGGTTCTGCTCCTGCTCATTCCGGGCACACTTGATGTAGGTCATCCAGCTGCGGTGGTCCTCCTGGCTGGCATCGATGAAGTACCGCACCGTACCGTCTTCATTGAACACCTGGGCATAGGTGGGAGGAGCCCAGGTGAGGCAGGGCTGTGCCACGTGTGTGGGTGGGGGCCAGGTCAGACTTCACGCCAGCCACATCCGTACATGCTGTCCATGCCCGAGCAGCCCGGGGAGTGGGTAAGCTACCGCCAGGGGTGTCTGCCCCAGTAGTTTCTTGCCTGAGGCTTATAGTGAGAAGGCACCAAAGGGGCATTAGTGTCCAGGGCTCCTCCTGCTAGGGTCTCCTGACTCCCAGAAGAAAGTGAGCTTGGAGGGATCCCTGCCCACACAAAGCAGCCCCAGCAGGCTCTCCTGGAGGTGCAGAAGCACCCCCAGAATTGGCCAGGACCTCAGAGGGAAACACAAGGCTGGAGAGGGACGGCCGTTCACTGTGGCACCCTGGCCTGGCCTGAGCTGCTTTGCGGGAACTGCCAAGGGCAGGCAGAGGTCCAGTGACACCTTCATTTATAACCTGGCGACAACTAGAAAAGAGCTCAGGTGAGGCCTCAGGTGGGTCCCTGGACCCTGTTCCCTGGCTTCTGCTCCTATGACCAGCTGCAGGATTGTTACTCTGGGCTCCCAGGGTCTGCCAGGTTGGGGGGGCAGAGGGAAGGAATGACATTAGGAAGGATGCCATCTGGCCCCAGTGGGCTTCTGTTCTGCAGGGCAAGTGAACCAGGAGGAGGAATGGCTGCTGGAGTGGCTTTGCCCTCAGGGTGGCCTTGCTGGCATCTGGCACTGTGGGGCAGGGGAGGGTCAGCAGGCCAGGGGGGAGGATGCTGAAGTTTTCTTCTGTAACATGGGGTTGCTGGGGTAACCCCGGGGCTCCAGCTGGGGACCCGGCTGACTTAACACTGAGACACAGAGACCAGACTGACAACCACTTCACAGGCCAAGTCCCCAGAAACACCCGGTGGGCGGTGGCCGGCAGTCTCCACTGCAGCCACACCTCACCCCCAAGTGGGGTTGGCCTTGGGGGAGGGTCCCTGGTTGCTTCTGTGGCCAGGAGTAAAGTGCAGGTGTTTGGAGGTCGCCCGCAGCTAGGGTTCCCAGCACACCCTGAGCCTCTCGCTCTGTGCAGTGCAGACGGTGACACTGCTGGAGGATTGGCCTGAGTGGGCAGGAGAGCCAGGCTTTTTCCTGTGAGGGACCCAGCAGTCTGGAGGACTCTCCAGGGAACAAAGCTCCATGCCTGGGCTATGCTGGTCGTCTTAAGGTCCCGATCCACCCGCATTCAGGTGGAGAGCATCCACAGCTGCCCCAGGCCACCAGCAGCCTCGAGCCTCACGCCCCTCATGGTGGTGGCCCAGCGTCCCTACCTCCCACATCAAGTTGTTGTTCTTGCAGATGTCCACGTGTTCAGGGGCAATGACGCGGCCGGTGAAGGGGCCCATCTCGGTGCCCGCCTTGATCCACGTTTTGGAGAAGATGCCGAGGCCCTCGCCAGGGATCGAGCTCTGGGCGATGATCACCTCCACCGGCAGCACCAAGCTGGACAGCTTCTGCACCTCTGCAGTGGGGCCGGAGCCGGGTCAGCACCCGAATCAGTCCGCAGAGAGGCGCTGCCCTTCCCTCCCCCGTGCAGGACCTCACCCATTCTCCCCAACCTGGTCAGCCCAAGCCGTCCCGACCTGACCCGGAGAAGACTCCCCGATGACCAGGAAGTGGCCCTGTGCACAGCTTGGTCACTGGAGTCCCCTCTGCTGAAGCCCGGGACCCTCCCAGCTCTCGACAGCCAGCAGCGCTCTGGGGTCTGGGGCTCATTTCTAAGGCGGCATTTTTTAGTGCCTCCCCAGATCCTCAAAGCTCCACCAACCCCCTCTGCCTTCCATCCGGGAAAAGTGTGAGAACCCACTGCCTGCCGGATGTTTACAGACAGGGAAACTGAGGCCAACCCAGGACTCTGGCCCAGTTCTGTTGGGATCCTTTTGTCAGCCGGCCGGTCACTTGGCAACCCCCGTGCACCGTGGCAGGTGTGGGCATGGCACTGTCGGAGAAGCCCCGCCGCTGCCCGCTGCCTGCCTCGGAGGTCAACACTGGGGACTGATCTAGGGATGGAGGGCAGCAAGGGCTGGGCTGCGCAAAGTGACTCCAGGGAACCCCGGGACCCTCTGTGCTCCAGGCAAGCTCGGAAGCTTGAAAGTCTCCTCTCCGACTGGTGAAAGCCAGTGGCCCCCAGCTCCCCCTCCTAGTTCCCTTGCCGGCCCCGAGGCCAGGGTGGGAGCAGCCGGGCGCACAGGGGCGGCCCCCTTGTCTTACAAGGTTCCCCTCTAAGCTACCTGGGAAAATACCCGGCGAGTGGGCCGGTTGAAAGGGGGCGTTAAACGGTGTCCATTGCAGCGCGGCCCGGCAATTTGTCACACTGTTAAAGTGAACGCATTCACCGGGCTCCATTGGAAAGAAATTGCTAATTCTAAATTCATTAGCCCTGGAAGGATGCTGTCCTGGTAAATTGCAGCTCAATGCGGAGGGAACTTGTTTAAAGGGGGCCGAGGAATTCCCCTTACAAAAAGCAGGGATTAGATGGTTGACATAGCGTGAATGCAAGTGGAATTAGTCTTCACGGTAAATTAAGAGAGGAACAGAAATCGTAAAGGGGGAAGAGAGGGCGCCGCACAGAGATGCCAGCGCCGGGGAAAGATATTGTTTGCGGGTTGATGAATGAGGAATAAGAACTTGAGACGTCTTAAAGAAAAGAAACTTTTCTTTCGCCCCCCACCCCACCCCAGCCCAACCCCGGCTTTTTCTCCTGGCCCCCGCAACCCTCCGCCCTTCCCCGGCCCCTGCCGCCTTTTTAAAGTTCTTGGTTTAAGTGGGAACTTTCGAGGGTCAAGCCCAAGTTAACCAAATGAATTTAAAAGCCCTTCTTTTTGAGTCAACTGCTATTACACGCCTAGTAAGGCGTTCAAAGCCGGGAACCTGCCGGCCTGGCGAGGGTGGGGTGGGAAGCGGTTGGGAGGGGGGCGCCCGCCTGGAGCTGCGGGCTCCGTTGTCGCTGCCACTGTCAGGGTCGCTGGGATGTGATCAGCGCTGCCCACCTCCGGGTTCCGCCCCATGTGGATAATCAGAGCCTCCCACCCCACCCCGGCCCGTGGGACCCACAGGGGATCCTGAAGCGCCACAGGCCATACAAGGGCAGAGTGGGCTCCGGCAGCCGCCAAGCCTTGCGCACCACAGAGGCCCTCGAGGGTCGGGGTGGCCAGGAGTGGGGATGGGATGAGCCTCGATGGCGAGGTGAGAGGAGGCGAGGTGAGGGGACACTCACCACCCGAGAAAGACTGTGCCAGGACCTCGGCGGTGAAGGCCGTCTTGGGGCTGGCGTGGTGGCTCTTGTCTTCCAGGAGCTGCTCGCCCAGCACGTTGCGCCATCGGCCGTAGAGGAAGCTATGTAGGATATCGGAGGTGATGACCTCTGCCAGCGCCAGCCCTGGAGCCTTCAGCCCTGTCTTGAGGACCAGGGCCTCAGCCGGGAGCACGGAGCCCATCATGGGCGGCCCAGGGCTCGCCGGCGGGCGGCGCTGGGAGAGATGGCTGGGCTGGACCAAGAGGGGAGCGAGGAGGACGGGAGAGGGCTGCGCTGGAGGAAGAGAAGGAAGAGGTGCAGGGGAGGAGGAGGAGGAGGACGGCGAGGAGGAGGAGGAGGAGGAGGGGGAGGAGGGGGAGGCAGCGGCAGCCGCGGGTGGCTGGGAGGGAGGAAAGTGAACCAGGGGGGACGGCGGAGAGGAAGGGAGATGCGATCTGCAGAGATGGCAGCAGACGAGGCGCAGAGGCGCGGGTGGAGACGGAGGCGGGAACGGGGGTGCGGGTGGGGGGAGGCGGCGGCTGCCTGAGACTCTGCGAGGCGCTCTCTCCCGGACAAGCGCCTGCCTGTCGAAACCCAGCCGGACCGTCTTCCCCTTGGCAAAATCTCAGCGCCTTTATAGGAGCCGCAGTGACCCTCCTAATTGGTTATTAATGACCCCCTGACGTCGGAGGACAGACTCGCTGGGCCCGGCCAGGCTCAGAGGAGCCTTGGATGAGAGCGTGGGGGGCGGGGGGCGGGGGCGCGGTCGGCTGACACTGCCCGCTCGCACCTCCCTCCCTCCCCACTCCCGGCCCTTCCTCCCCCTCCTCTTCCTCCTCCTCGCCCGTGGGAAGCGCTAGGCAGGGAGGGGATGTCGCCAGGCTCGCTCTCGCCTGGACCCCAGGGACAGGTCCAGGCAGCCTCGGGCCCCCAAAGACACCACCCATCCCAGGTGAAGTGCACACTTGGCACCTGCCTGGCCTGACCGGGCCTTCACCTGCACCTCCTGACGCTCTGGCTCCCTGGCCCTGTGCTCTCCTGGTCCTCGATCCACGAGGCCAGCGTCGCCCAGAGCCCAAAGCTCCAGCCCTGCCGGGCTGAACTGTCCAAGCCGCCTTTCCCTTCAAACAGGCCTTGCTCTTGGCTGGGCGCGCTGGGTGTACCAGGGTCCCCAGGACTCAGAGCTGCAGGGCGGGGCCAGGGCCGCCATCCAGGCTTGACCCGGTCCTGGGAGGCTTCGTGGGTGACCACATCCCGGTCCTGGGCTGCTAGGTTGAGAGTCCAGAAATGCGGACTGAAACTCAAACTGCGTGGCCAGCTCCTCAGAAAAGGCTCTCTTGTAGGATCCGGAAACCACGGAGGGCTCCCTGGACGAGCCTGGGTGGAGGCCACTGTGCCCCAGGGCGAGCGCACCCAAAACCTTGGGCAGCAGCGCCTGGCCTCCGAGGCACTCGGCCCGGGAGCTGTGCTCCCAGGAACCCCTGCCCGCCGTCTTCCCCCATGCCCGCAGCCTTTCCTTGCTTCTCTCCTCGTCGCTCCTCTCCTTTCTGCCTTCTCCCACCTCGATCCCTCAGGCGTCTTTCCGCGCTACCACCTCAGGTCCAAAGCCCCTGCTAATGCACCAGCGCCACTGTCCCTCTACGGAACCCAGGCGGGAAGGCTGTCGCTCTGCTCAGGCTCGGCCGCCTCCCAGGTCAGCCTCGTGCCCCTTGATCCCATCCAGCTCTGCACGGGGGAGGCAGGGACCGGGGTACCTCCCCAAGCAGCCAGCGTCCTTACCGGCCCCAGTGTCAGATGCCACCTGGAAGGTGCTCTGCACGCCCTCCCTCAGGGTGGCTCTGGCTCACAGGGCTCCCCTGCACAGTGGACTCCATGAGCTTCTCTGCCGGTAGGGGTCACGCGGAGGGACGGGGACTTGGCTTCCACGGGTGACACCTTATCCTAACGACCCTTGGAACAGAACCTCTTCCAGTGCCAGTCAGGGGCGTTGGCAGGTGGACACAACCCCAAGCTCTGAGCCCTCAGTTTTGTCCCGGGGTCGCTGGTGTCCCCTGTCCAGCGTGGGAACGTGGAGGGAGGAAGAGATGAGCGCAGTGGGCTTCGGGCTGGGGCTGGCCCGTCCAGCGGAGCGCGGCACCAGCAGAGGGAGCGCTGCGGAGGAGCCAGCGCGGCGCAGGTCGAGGCCCCAGCACCCTCACTCCCTTCCAGAGGCTCGGAGCCGGAGCGCACGCACTGACCGACCGAGGTGGCTGTTGGCCGGGGAATCAGGGCGGCATCTGAGCCTTGGCTTCTGCCGACACTGAGGGTTGGGAGGTGAGGCCAGGCAGAGGAGACTCCGTTGGGGAGCAGCCCCAGAACCGTACACTCTGCTCCTAAGTCTGAAAACCGTGCCTGGGGAGGCCAGAGGGGAGAGGGGCCACTGTGTGTCCTTGGGTGCCCACCCTTCCCTTCTTGCCTCAGTGTCCCTGTCCATGCAGTGACTTGGGTGGCACTTTGTGAACTGAGTTTCCTCCCACCAAGTCTGTCTTTGGCACAGGTCAGCCCCAACCTCAAGGCCCCTGGGATTTTGCCAGTTCCGGACGCTGAGAAAAGCCTGCCGATGCACGTATCCTCCGGCCTGGGGCGCAGCCTTTTGGGTTCCCCAGGTTCTTGAGGTCGGAAGGCTCTGGTCTCGGCAGGGGAACCATATTGGTTTCCTCGGGATCCCCAAAACCTGGGGGAGCCCGGCAGGGCGCAGGGCACAGTATAGAAGCATCGCCCGGAAGAGACTGGCAGCCAGTGGGTGCTGGCTGGGGATCTCTGGCCTGGCAGGACAGGTACCTAGACGTGCCCGGGGGACAGAGGAGGCTAAAGGGGAGCACCGGGCCCCGGACCCTTGGAATTGGGGAGCAAGGCCCGGGCCCGCCCAGCCCGGGGTGGAGATTTCAAGGGGGAAGCGCGGCTGGCTCCGGAGCTCTAGCCTTCTAAGGTGGCCCGGCCGGGCGCCGCGTGTGCCCAAGCAGAGCGAGCGCCCTCCCCTTGCCGCTGGCCGAGCCCGCAGGCAGGCACCGGCCCCTCCCCGCGCCCTGGGCCACAGTTCCTGGATCTCTTTAATATTCATGGGCGTTAATAGAGAGGCCCCCAGTATATCGCCCCATTGTGGGCGGCTGGTAGGGCTTGAATAGGCCTCGGCCCCCTTTCTTCAGCGCGGCTTCCCGAGGGGCCGGGCCAGGAGTGAATGGCCCCGCTTCCCGCGCGGCGCCCCTCCCCCGGCGGCCGGGACATCTTTATCCCCGAGCCGCCCGGGCCCCTATTCAAGCGGCCCGGCTCCGGCGGAACGAATCAATCGGCTGTGGCTCTTCGGAGGTCACCCTGCCGCCCGAGGAGTGGGAGAAGGAGGCCATGGCGGGCCGACGGACCCACGGGTGGGGACCCCAGGGTGCAACATGACGGAGGGGCACCCGGGCCTGGGCGCGAGGAACCTCCCTGTCCACGCTGCGTGTGGGGTGCGCGGGGCACTGGGGCTGAGACGGGGCCACGTCCTGTCCCCCTAGAAGGCCGCAGCATGCATCCCTCCTGGCCACAGCCCACGCCTGCCGGCCGGCCGCACAACGTGGGGAGCAGCCCAGGACCCCAGGTTTCGCCCCCCGAGCTGCACGGTGCTCTCGTTCACGCCCCAGTCCGCGCCTCGTTTCCCTTTGTGCGTGTCGACGGGGACGAAGCACAGGGTCCACCCCTCCCGCCCGCCTCCACCCTCCGAGGCACAGACAGGAGCCCATTGTCCTTCAGAAGTACAGTTTTGGGGGCCTAGAGAAAGCCTGTCTTTCTTTTGAACTTTAGAAGGAAGTCCCGGCTCTCGCCCTCCTCGGAGGCACAGATTTGTCTCCCTCCTCTCTCGGGGCCTCGCGCTCCGTCTCCTCCCGAAACATCTGCCGGGGGACAAATCCACCCTGGAGGGCAGATCGCGCCGGCGCTAAGCCCCGAGAACTCATTAAAAAGATATTAGCGGCGGGGGCGCCTGCACAGGTATCGATCGCCCGGGATGAGCCCGAGGAAGAAAGGCCAGGAATGTGGCTGTGCCCGGGGCCCACCGCCCCCCAAGCCCGCGCCCAGCCCGGAGCCTCCCCATCCCACAGTCCCACATCCATCCGTCCTTCCGTCCCCCTGTCCATCCCCCTTCTCCGTTCGCGGTTCCTGTTCCCCCCTCTCGCACTCTCCGCAGCTGTAGCTCCTGCGCGCTCCCGTGTGCTCCTGGTTCGGTCTTTCTGGTCTTCATCCCCAAGTGGTCTAGGAAATTCTCAGCTTGAAGGGGTCATTTGTCTCCCCATTCCTGCCGCGATTCCGCCACCAGGCTCGGGGTACTGGGGCACCTCCACTCAAAAGGGCAGAGGCCACTCTGGTGCAGAGCAAGGTGGGGGCACGGCCTACACGGGAGTGGGGGCAGCTGGTCCCCGCCCCGCCCCTCACCCTAATTAGCCTTGGAGCCCCTAAGAAACAAAGGCACACCCCGGGACGCCCACATCCAGCTTCCAGCAGATAGCCCTGAGTCAGTGCCTGGGCCAGCAGGTGACAGCACCTCAGGCACCCAGGGCCTCTCTGCCCACCCACCCCCTCACTTCCTCAGCACCAGGCCCACCAACCCTGCCCTGCAACAGCAGCACCACAGCTCCCTGGGATTCGTGGGGGGATATCAGAAGGGGGGGTCAGAGGGCACCCAGAGGCTGGGGGTTCTGGAGGAGGTGGAGGCAGTGGGAAACCGAGATAGAGAGAGGTTGGAGGAGATCAAGTCAAAATTTGCTAAGTGGAAACACCAAGAAACGGAGGCAGAGAAAGACCCCAGAGCTTGAGAGGCCCTTGAGAGGTCAGAGAGAAGTGGACAGGACAGAGGCAGACATGGAGGCTGGGGCGTGGGTGGGGAGGGCTCCTGGGAAAAGCAGGGACCTCCGGCCTCACCCTGGGCTTTCCACTTGGTCTTCTGTCCCTAAGTACTTACCAAGCACCCACTGTGCGCTTAGCTCTTCCTGACCCTGGGGCGCCCTGGTGGCCAGGGTGTCCCCACCCTGATTTCATAGCCTGGCTTCCCCTCTGGTGGTTCGAGGGGAGACAACCTATCCTAGGCCACCGTGTTCCTCTCCCCAGAGCCAGTCCCAAGCCCTGGTTCCCAGCGAGGGGTCCACCAGTGACCACTGGTGGCCTAGGCTCTGTGGCCTGAGCATGAGGGCTTCCTGGGCCCCTCCCGTGTGCAAAGGAGAATCCAGCCTGCCAGCAGCCACCGCAGGGTAGGCACCTCTGCCCCTCTCTAAGCCTCAGTTTCTGCAAAACGGGGCTTTTCTGGGAGGGGGAGGATTTGAACCCAAAGCCCTAGAACTGAGCTGCACCCACCCTTTCAAAAACAACAACAACAACAACAACGAAAGATTTTTTTGTGAGACAAGATCTTGCCAAGTCACTAAGTTGTCCAGACTCAGCCTCCAAGAGTGCTGTGACTGCAGGTGAGTGTCACCCCCTGCCCATGGAAGAGCCTCTCTGAATGATGGAAGACAGCACATGAAAGGCTCACAGGAGGGGATGCACTTGAAAATACTGGCAATTGGGTGACACTTAAGGAGGGCTGGGGCTATAGCACAGTGGCACAGCGCCTGCCTGGCAAATGCAAGGTCCTCAAT